GGGTTTACTAGGGTTAAAAATTCTAGTGCAGTGTTTAGGGTTTACTAGGGTTAAGACTTCTAGTGTAGTGTTTAGCATTTACTGGGGTTAATGCTTCTAGTGTAGTGTTTAGGGTTTAGTAGAGTTAACACTTCTAGTGTAGTCTTTAGGGTTTAGTAGGGTTAACACTTGGTATTTTTTAGGGTTTACTAGGGTTAACACTTCTAGTGTAGTGTTTAGGGTTTACGAGGGTTAACACTTCTACTGTGTTAACACTTCATTAGTGTTTAGGGGTTTGGGTTTTGGGGTTTAGGGTTTTGGTTTTAGGGTTTAGGGTATATGCATCAGGTGTAGTGCAGGATATAGGTAGAGGAGGTGGCAGTGGTGGTGGTATTGGTGGCCGGAACAGAGCACCCGGTCATTATAGTTGTATTTCGTGCAAGTTTCAGTTTGCTTACAGCAATGCTGACCGGGCATTATATCCGGATGAAGATGGTAGCATAGGCTTGTGACACAAGTTGTTACATGCTGAGCCTGCACACGCGCCCATTTTGGGGGCCCGGTGGTTGCTGAGGCCCCCCAGGCCGCACGCCCCTCAGACGCACGCCCTGGAGGCCCAAGGGCGGCCTTAGGGCCGCAGGTTTCGAGTTGAGGCAGCATTTATTTATTTGCTGTCCTATTTCTGTCTGTTCAGGCGTTGTTTCGGACTTGCAGCTCGTCTGAACAGACTTTCGGTCTGTTCAGACAAGGCCACGATGTTGGCCTGGTACGGACGTAGGCAGGCCCTGTTGGGCCAGGTCCGTTGTTGTCCAGTTGCGGACACTCCCTGCTGCATCAGCAGGGAGGGCCTGGACGTCCGGTAGGGACCCAGGCAGGCCACGTTTTGCCCGAGGACCAGAGGCACACGGAGGCACACCTGCGGGGTCCAGCGCTACTTATAGCTGGGCCACGCATGGGCAGACACACAGTTCGAGTAGCTCACTTCTTGGGCGACACGCTGCTGGAGCAGCGCAACAGCGCTATGCTAGAGGTAGAGGTGTAGGTAGGTGTCGGCAGAGATCTCACCTGGGTGGCATAGCTGGTCTTCCCTCCAGCGCCCTGCAGCACAGAGGAGACACGCGGCGGCAGTTAGTACATGGCAGCTGTTACCTGCAGGTGAGATAGCGAGGAGGATGACATCTTCTTCTTCTTCTTCTTCCACACACACACACACACAGACACACACAGAGAGAGAGAGAGAGAGAGAGAGAGAGAGAGAGAGAGAGAGAGAGAGAGAGAGAGAGAGAGAGAGAGAGAGAGGTTACACCGGGCATGGGGCCCAGGATCGGATTCGACATTTTGTGGCAGACATGGATGGGACATTTGGCAGGGAGAGTATTTTTGGACTTCACTATCGTGATCTTGGTCTTCTCCGTCATCTCCATCTTAGTCTCGCCTCTCCCCCATCTCCTCATCCATCGTATCTCCCCATGTGCATGCTCAAGGAGGGACCTTTCTTCTATGTATGCGGTCCCTCCTCTTCCTCTCACATGTGTGGTGTATGATGGGGTGTTGCGTCAGTATCTGACAGGTCAGGTCATATCTTTGAGTCTTCCGTTGTGCTACATTATGCTATTTTCTTATGTATCTGGATGCACATTGCTTGTTGATGCTTTGCTGACACTGCATTGTCCATTCGAGTCCTTTTCATCACTTTGCGGATCCTAGGCTTCATATACATCGCTCGACTGAGGATGTATCACAAGGTGAAGTGAGCGATTGATTTAATTTTGACCAACGAAGACTCTGCATGTTAGTATGACTCTGATTTGCTTGCCTTTGGAGTAAACATCTCCTGTTCTGAGTTTTCTAAACAGTGAGATTGCAAGTTAGGCGCGTCTCATTGTTGAGAGTCCTGTTCTTTCTGAAGATTAGGGTCTATGTCCGCCTGTGTAGAAGCACCCAAAGGAGAATTTGCCATTTGGTCTATATTTGCTTAGCATCGGAACCGGTTATCCTTATCGTTGTAAAATTTGCGCACCTGGTTCTGCTCATTGAAAGGGCTTGATTTTATGTAGAAACATCGCATGCTCGGCATCATGGAGAGGAGAGCCTAGGTATGACGATTCTTCTAAGGTCTGGTTATGAAATTGAGTCCTAAAATTAGTAGACCGGAAGCGGCAAAGGGAACCGCAGTGGGCAGTCAGGAGACACAGGTACTGGTACCGGTCCTGAAAAGTCCAAGATTAGGAACGGCAAAAAGCAGAAAAGTCCAGCAGCAGCCAGACAACAAGACAATCCGCATTTACACCCGCCGCTGAAGTGCTGCTCCTGCCTTGTGTGGTCAAGCGCTGAGCAAGGCTGAGAGGTAGTCGAGTAGGGTAGTCTATGGCGCCAGCGCCCAAAGCTTAGGCGTTGAGTGAGCAAAGAGGAGAGAGGGAGAGAAGCAGGGCTGGTCCCCGGTCCAACCGGGGACCCCTCCCCCGACCGGGAGCCTGCCGGTCGGACCGGGTGTTTGACCGGCATGGCAGACCCCCGGTCGAACCCAGCGCATCACACTGGGGTTGGGGGGGTACCGGGGAGTCGCGGGCATGCCTGCGATTGCACGGTCCGCAGGAGGCCACCGCCTCCTTTAAAATAAAATAAAAACGGGCCTTTTGGACCCTACATCTTGAAAATAACGCGCTTTTTTCAAGATGCCGGGTCCAGTAGGCCCCATTTTTCAATTTGGCATCGTGTGGTCCAAAGGTCCACAGACTACATGTAATTGGCAGGTCCTGGTACACGTCCGCCCTGGGCCAGGAGGCAAACAATATGCTGATGCAGTGGCTTTGCTGAGATTATCTGCTTCTGCGTTATCCCTACGCTCTGGGGAAAAACTTATGGGTTTTGGTTTTCGCTCATGAAGCCAGTGTAACAATGCTGTACGAGGTCCAAGCTTAAGAATGGACCTCGCTTTACTACATGTATCTGGACAGACTCCCAGGTAAGATACTTTCGGACTTATGACCCACTGTATGTAGAAAAAAACAAACAGAAAACACTCTGCCTGCACGACCTGAAACCTGAACCCATAAATTTTTCGCTGTCGAGCTTTACTCTGGAAGAGCTATCAGTTTTGGCAAGGACCTCCTCCTGATATATCTTGTTCAGCCTCTTGGGTGTCAAAGTCTGATGGCGTGGCCCACGAGACCCTACAGTGTTGAATTGGAAGTCTTGGGCCATGGGGGTTCCAGATAAGTAAGCTTGTTTACTTGACCCCTCCACCTGAAAGTCATATCTCCCTGAATTGGAAGTCTTGGGCCATGGGGGTTCCAGATAAGTAAGCTTGTTTACTTGTCACTGCTGTCTGGTCCAAGTTGCTCTCGATACTGGTAGGATAACCACCGGCTGCCACTGCCAGTGATCACAGTGGGTCTAGTCCTTGGCCTTTGCAACACCCTGGGCTTTAAAAAAGATGCGCTACGGCCAACCGGGGGGGAACCGGCCCGGGCGACCGGCTGGTACGACCGGTGCGCTTCCGGTTGGGGGAGGGGCTCCCGGTCCCACTGGGTTTGCAGCACTGAACTAAACACAACTCAAATGGTTCAATTATGATTCATGTTGCTTGCTAAAGAGGTGAATTACTTAGTTGTTGGGCTGGCTCAACTTGAATCTACTTGTCTGGGGGGAATAGGGGCTGTTGTGGTGGAAACTTACACACACACAAACCACAATCAATGTGGGCAGCCTTGTGCGTAAGTGGCACAGTAAAAGGGGAGCTGCAAGAACAAAACGGGTACCCCAAGGACAACCAAAAAGCTGTCTAATTATAAAATTGCTTTAATATGTTGGACATCTCAAATGCTCTCGTTGTCTGCAATAGGGCAAAGACTGCTTTGATTCTGAATCTATTCA